CATACAGATGTATTTTGCATGGGTATAAAAAATTCCTGAGGTATGACGTCTTAGTTTTATCTTAAACTTCCAAAAACTCAGAAAAAGCAGTCTAAAACGCGCGGTTTTTCAGACCAGTCATGCTTATGGTCGTGTCTTTCGCATTTTTTTTTGCTAATTCGTGATTTGTTTGCTTTGCGAATATTAAATTCATTTATCATACTACTGATATAAATTAAATTTGGTAGTATAACTAATATTTTGGGGCAAGATTTTTCTGATCAAAAAATGAGCATATTTTGAAAAAAAAATTTAAAAAGGACTGGGTCTACCTACAAAAAAGCTTCAAGCACGGCTTCAACTCCCCCCCCTGACTTAGCCTTCCAGTTATTATTAGAGTTCACTGACTCGAGCTCAAAAAGTGAAGCCAACATGGCGGAATTTGAAGGCCCCTTACGTGCGCGGTCAACAAAACTTTTATATTTTTCTTTACTTTCCGAGTAAAAATCTGGTGAAAAACAGACGAAATTTGAATGAAAAGTTAAATTCTGGTATTTTGTTTGCGTTCGGTTATAAATTTTAATTATTATTTGTTTAGGAGATGTGATATTTGAGTGGAAAGAAAGTAAAATAGCGCGAGATTCGGCAGGTACAAAACGCAGGTTGCAGGTTGGAATTTTGCAGGTTGCGCATTTTGCAGGTTGGAATTTTGCAGGTTGGGGATTTTGCAGGTTGGAATTTTGCAGGATGCCAGGAACTTTGCAGGTTGATAATGCAAACGTAAAATTACACCACTTTTTTAGTATTCTAGTATAATTTAGTTGTGCATTTATTGCAGTCTGACACCTTGTCAGCGCCTCTGCTCTAAGGCTAGTGGTCATCACCCCCATGAAAACATTCAAAATGACCAGATTGGCTTGGACCTACAGGGAGACGAATGTTTTGATTGTTGCGAGGTGCCTACATGACGTGACAGCGTTTATACTAGAATGTTGTCAAAAGTTAACTAACTCTCGAGTAATGATACGGTAATTGGGGGCTTGAGTGGACCTCTCATAAGTGGGTGCAGAGGAGAGACACCTCATTCAGGCATTTTCTGAACTGCCACCACGTCATGTAGGCTCCTCTTAACAATCGAAACATTCGTCCCCCTGGAGGTCCAAGCCGATCTGGTCATTTTGAATGTTTTCACAAGGGTGATGGGCACTGATGGCGACTCCTTAGAGCAAAGGCTAGGAACATATGGCAGCAGGATAGGCTGATATCAAAAGCCCCGACAAGGAGTCAAACAATAAGTACACAATTAAATTATACTAGAATACTTTATAGTGGTGTAATTTTAAGTTTGCATCATCAACTTGCAAAATTCCTGGCAACCTGCAAAATTCCAACCTGCAAAATCCCTAACCTGCAAAATTCCAACCTGCAA